AGCTGCCCCAATGTGTCAGAGGAAACACAGTTCACCTGATGACCAAAGTCAGCCTGCAGGCGCCCAGCCCGCCACAAGAGCGCAATGAGCCAAGTAAAGCCCCCCCAGCCAAACCCTCCCCTAACCCGGACAACGCTGGGCCAATTGTGCGCCGCCCTATGGGACTCCCGGTCACAGCCAGCTGTGACACAGCCTGGGATCAAACCCGGGTCTGTAGTGATGCCTCAAGCACTGTGATGCAGTGCCTTAGACCACTGTGCCACTCGGGAGGCCAGCACTTTTCATAGTCAACATTGAGCACAGGTCAGCCTCAGGTAAATCTCTCAGAGGCCGCTCCTGTAAGCACTACAAGCAACTGGAGTAGACTATGCTCACTGTTTTTGCTGACCACCCAGTCACTGTACGGATTTTTCCAACTCGCAACTGCATTTTCAAAATGAAAATCGTTTGCCATCCATAGACACTCTTAGAAAAAAGGGTTCCAAAAGGGTTCTTCAGCTGTCCCCATAGGATAACCCTTTTTGGTTCCAGGTAAAACCCTTTTTGGTTCCAGGTAAAACCCTTTTTGAATTCCTTGTAGAATCCAAAAAGCGTTCTACCTGGAACCAACAAGGGTTCTTCAAAGGGTTCTCCTATGGGGACAGCCGAAGAACCCTTTTAGGTTCTAGATAGCACCTTTTTTTTCTAAGAGTGTACTTGACGTCTGTAAGCCCACTAACACATGGCTATGTTGCAGGTGCAGAATGCTCTTCAAGGAACTCCTTCATTCCAAAAGTTCAGGTATGTTGAGGCATCACTACAGACCCGGGTTCGATCCCAGGCTGTGACCGGGAGTCCCATAGGGCGGCGCACAATTGGCCCAGCGTTGTCCGGGTTAGGGGAGGGTTTGGCCGGGGGGGCTTTACTTGGCTCATCACGCTCTTGTAGCAGGCTGGGCGCCTGCAGGCTGACTTTGGAGGCAAAGGTATGTTCAAGTATCTGCTTTATCTTGGCCAGGTCGCAGTTGTAAATGAGAACTTGTTCTCAACTGGCTTACCTGGTTAAATAAAGGTGAAATAAAATTTTGTAAATTTTTTTAAAAAAAAAATGTTCAGGTCATGATACATTTAGAAGATTATCAGGCATTAGAACCAGTGTACAGGTGTAGGATCTTAACCTTTTACTGCAGTGGGCTGAATCAGGGCCACACAGAGTGATTCTTGGTAGTCTTAAACAAATCTACTTTGAAACAAAACTATACACCTCACACACATGGTTATGGGCTTAAAAAAAAGAAGACACCTGTACCATGTCAGATATAGAGTTGAAATGTATTTTCAATATTACACATTATATACATCACAGAAGACTGAAAGATAACAAAACAGTTTGACATAGAAACACCAGATTTTTATACATTTTTATTAATGATGAAATTATGTAGATTATTAATAACATTCCACCCATGAGGGCGCTTTTGGTTATTGACTACAGGAAAGGGCAACTTTGAACACTATTGCAGCAAAATAACAAGATTTGAACATTTAGTCCATAATGTTGCTTGATCGGTGGTTAGGCTATTAGCTGGCTAAAATTAGATTACATGAACAGTGCAATGTTGTTAATATAGCTATGTGTTAGTGAGGGTTTTCAGTAAATTTATATTTAAATCACGAAGCTCATCTGCGGTGCAGGAAAATTCTCAGCAACAAAATAGTAATTTGAAGATCCTACATCTGTATTTAAGAGGGATTCTTTTTCAGATGATCAGTTGACCTGGGTTCTGAACACTGATGATGCTGGCACAGCTGACTCACTACAGCAAGACCAATTTGTCTATGTGAGACAAAATCTTCCCCCTCGTTTGTGATTTGTATAGGTGAGCAGTGCTCAGTATTTATTTTCTGTTATTTTCATCTCTGTCTGTCTGTCTGTGTGTGTGTGTGTGTGTGTGTGTGTGTGTGTGTCTGTGTGTATGTCTATCTGTTTGTCTGTCTTTCTGTGTCTGTCTCCCAGTATGTGTGTCAGTGTGTCTCGGGCTCTCGGAGGAGCAGTTCCAGCTGTTTCTGGAACATCTCTCCCTGTGTAGCCGGGAACACGGCTGTGCTGGGAATTTGAGGCACTGGATAGAGACACTCTCTCAGGCCTTCTCCCACTGTGACAGTGCTAAGGTGACTGACTGAACCAAGCTTAACCACCACCATTAAAACACTGCAGTAAATACCATTGATTAACTTTTTTTAATAGAACATAATTTTCCATTAGCTCGTCACATCTTTCTACTGCATAACGGATTGTAGCTTGTGGTGAAATGATTGCAGAGAATCACATCAGGATTAATGGAGGATGTAATTTAACATAATAAAATCAAAGTGCTTTGAGATCTAATGAAAGTATCTATTTATTTGTTTAGACTGGGTGTCTGGACAGACAGAGAGTGTTGGCCCATCTGCTGAGTTTCTACCATAGGGCGGCGCACAATTGGCCCAGCGTCGTCCGGGTTTGGCCAGTGTAGGCCGTCATTGTAAATAAGAATTTGTTCTTAACTGACTTGCCTAGTTAAATAAAGGTTAAATAAAAATAAAATAAAATAAATGAGAGCACACAGGAGTCCATGCATGATCCTAACCACTGTGAGTGAACACGAGCACACACACACACACACGTACGCACACACGCGCACATGCACACACACTAGAAAGCATTCATACACATACACACACGCAGACACGTACACCACACACACACACAATTATGTTCACATAAGACCTGAAGATAAACAATCACAAGTTAATGGTTCTGAATATTTACGAAACTCACATGATGTACTACAATGTAATGACATCATCCCAATATGTCCATGTAGCTCTAGTCCATCTAGTGGACAAGTTGTAGTATTACAGACTTGCTGCCTTCAAGTTGAAAGGCCTATGTTTACTGACAGAGTGGACATAGACATGTCATTGTTACCATTATTCAGCTTGTGTGATGAGGTGTGAAGGAAGGAGTCAGGCGCAGGAGGTAAAACACCGAAGTCCAGAGTTTATTCCGTTCACATAAATAAAACGCACCCAGTGTCAAAACGAAACTACAAGGGAAAGTAATCAACCTTGGCAAATACACATGGATGAGTAGCTCAACCGAGCTACTCGCTCACATAATAAACAATCACTCACAAATACAAGGGGAACAGAGGGAACAATTATACACATACTAATTAGGGGAATGAGCACCAGGTGTGTGTGATTGACAAGACAAGACATGACAAGTGGAGTGATGAGATTGGGATCGGCAGTAGCTAGTAAGCCGGTGACGACGAACGCCGAAACCTGCCCGAACAAGGAGGGGAGGCAGCCTCGGCGGAAGTCGTGACAGCTTGAATGTTCAAATTTAAGCTAGGAAAACAATATCAACAACAACAACCACAATTGCTCTACAGGGCCGTTACAAGGAGACGACCACATGACCTTTGGTCTCCTTGGAAGCCCTGTAGCCATGGAGACAGAGAAGACCTCTTTGCCATTTGATGCTGGACTGGGGGACATGCAGCCTCCATGCCAAGCGATAAAGGGGGGAGATGAGTGGAGGGGAGAGGGCAACAGGGTTACCCCCACAGAGAGCCTGAAGCTGGGGCACCAAACTGCAGTACACAGCCCAAAACCTCCAGAGGACCGAGGGGACATAGAAGAGGTCATGAAGGGGTCAGGGTTGGAGAAGGGGTCAGGTTCAGACATCCCAGCGGTGGACATAGAGGGGCTATGTGTTGTCATGGAGTCTGGTCCCCTACCTGAAGATGATTGTGTTGAATTCCTTGGTTGAGGTTTACATTTGACATTTTAAAAGGAACTAACACATAATGTGATAACTTAGAGGAAAGAGAAACCCGCACATTGCTCTTGCTCATATCACTTTAGTCAGAGCAAGAGGCTGACACGCAAGCTTGAATAAAAAAGTCATACGAGAGCAGTGTGCGGGTTTCTCTTTTCCATGAGGTTTACATTTGGCAAGACACAGAGCATAAGACTACAATGGAGACTTTTGATACAGTTTGAGAAACAAAAAGCTCTGAAATCATGATCCTAGCCATCGTTTGTTCGTTCACCATCTAGTCTCCACAGAAGCAGAGGATCCTGGGTCATGCTGGACTATGTGTGCCTATGACAGTCTTTGATTGATTGATTGAATTTATTTGACAATTTGTAAAATACATACATAAGGGCACTCCAGCCGGTGACGTCTCCACATACAATTTAAGAAAATCATCAAGGATAACACAATAAAGCTTAACAGCTTGTTTCCATTGGTGGTCCTTCTGAAGAGGGAAGGGGAACAAGGTTAGGCGGTAATTGTAATGGCAACAGACAATGACAAACAAAAATTGTTGTTTGCTTCATAACATGAGATAATTAGTACAATTTCCTTTCCTAATAAACATCTATGGACAGGTACATCTCCCTTGTCTCACATACCCTTCATATATAAAACAATCAATACCTAAAATATACAAAACAATCACCATATAATAAACAACAGGCACCAAAAGGCAGACCATATGCTATCCTGGGTATTTCCTTCTCAGCCACGTACTATAATCTTACGACTCACTTTTGAGACATGCTACTATTTAGCCATTTTTTCATTGAGAACTTGAAACTACCTATGGCGGTTAAAAGTTTCAAATTCTTCGGAAGACTATTCCAAAGAATGGCAGCTGAGTATAAAAAAGTTTATTTCGCCATACCACTTTTAAAATCAGGAACAATGTCAGTTTCACTCCTTCTAGTGGAATAGTTATGGCTAAGTTAAAGTAGTTACATACAGTTGAAGTCGGAAGTTTACATACACTTAGGTTGGAGTCATTAAAACCACCTCTCTCCAGCTGCTCTGTCCTCTCCCTGGGACAATTCCAGGCCTTACTGAGAGGGCTTTCCTGGTGGAGCTGCAAGGTCAGGGGTAGAGGGGCTACCAGGCAGGCCTGGCTGCAGGAGATTGGGAGAGCAGCCCAAAGAGGTACAGCCCAGATGGAGCCTGTTTATGGGGCTGTGTTTAGCGCCGTGCTCAGAGTGAGTCTGACTCGTGTAGAATCATGGAATAACACCTTACATTTCAGACATCACAACATTACTGTAGTTTCACTCTAACCTAATGGCTAGTCAGTAGCATACATATGCATAAAACAATAGTCAACAGTCTGAAATAGGTACTATTGAATAACATTGTATAAAATGTATACTGCTTAAAATAAGTTGCTTGGTTGACTAAATTGTGGTTCTATATAGATTCTTTTTTATCCTTTTGGTCATAAATGTGCCATTGAACCCTTTTTGGTTCTATATTGCATCATTCCTTCTTACACTCTTATGGTGAATGTGGATTTGTTAAAGTCAGTTTGTGTAGTTTGTCCAGCTGATCACAGTAAAGCACTTTGTTACTGTAAAGCATTTTGTGACAACGGCTGATATAAAAATGGCTTTATAAAATAAATGTGATTTGAAGCCATGCTTGTCTGTGTGTGGCAGGATGCAGAGGTGAATGTGGAGGGGAAGCTGTTGAGTGTCTCTGTAGCCCTGCTGGAGGAAGAGGAAACAGGCTCCAGGCTGAGTTACGTGGCCTGTACTACTGAGGATGGCCGCCAGGTTCTCAACAAGATGCACCCAGCCACACCAGGCCCCTGTCAGGTCAGTGTCTGGAGATAGCACTGCCCTTGTTAGCGACACATCAATCAACCAATCAATCACACAATCAGTCAATCTAGCCTTTAGTGTAACCTTCTGACCCATGGCAACATGTCAGCTGCAGCTTGTGTCTGTGCTATTTGTTGGTTTAAGTATTTTTAGCCTTTAAACCATCCACTCTAACCCTGTAGCCCCTTTGTCCTCTCACTCACTCATTCACTCACTCACTAATGCCATTTCAGTTTCAACCATAGGCAGATCTGAAATGCTACAGTTTCTTATGGTTTTTGGGAGCACAGGAAATTATTTCAGACCCTGTTACCCGTTATTGTAGCTATCCTCTATCTCTCTCATTATAGGATCTCTGACTATCTCTTTTACTGTTGCTCCCTGCTGTAGTTTCTCAGCCATAGAGCGCTGTATGCCCAGAATGGGCGTTCACGGAGGGGTCTACCTTTTCGACGAGTCTCGACCCTCTTCACAGTGTTATGGCTCGTTTATCGCCATTCCCATATTGGACCCCTGAGAGCAGGGACGAGCTATTGGGGTGCTGGGTCTCGACACACTCCGAGATTCAAACGACGCACACCTGTTCTCACGCCATGAGATAGACTTCTAACAGGTGAGAGGAATGGCTGCTCCCAGATCTGTTTGTGCTGTCTTACCAACTTACCAACATTTGGCTGACAATGACCATAGAAGTTAGCAAGACAGCACAAACAGATCTGGGACCAGGCTAGAATGGCTGGAGGAGTCTTCAATGAGGAAATAAATATCCTAAAAACACCATTCATTAGCTCATTGGCTTTGAATCAGAAATGATATCCTATTTTTGCCCAGGTGGTGAGCAGTGAATTCTGCAGAGCTCTCCAGCACGTGGCGACTCGCTGCAGCATACTGCACGTTGTGGAGAGCGCCTCACTCTGGCTACACAGCAGAGTCTCTGCCATTCACAGTATCACCACCTATCTGATGGAGCCTTCAGATTGACAGGTAACTGAAGAGAAGACAGTAACATCAATCCACTATAGGCTACTTTCTATACACAGCATTCATACACTAAATAAACCATTTAAACAGAAATGTCACCCCCACATTAGCTTAATCACACACCTTAACCACCAAATTCAGGTACACAGAAGATCTGTTTCTGCTGCATATACCAAACATGACAATGATCATAGGAGTTGGCAAGACAGCACAAACAGATCTGGGACCAGGCTAATTTAAATCCCCCCTCTCTTCCAGAAACTACCTGTTCCAGTGCTGTGACACCTCCCAGGTTGGGCACTATGTGGTATTTGGGGCGTACAGACTGGTGCTCCCTGTGAGGGACTAAGCTGGGTGGGCCCTGGGGATGGTGGATGTGGAGTTAGAAACCCTCTCATCAGGCCACCAGGCGGGGCTGCAGCCCCACGAGCGCAGGGACCTGTCTGCTGCAGGGAAGGCACTGCAGGCTGCCTGTGTTCAGCTGCACAGAGAGAGCACTGAGCCAAGCAGGCAACACACACTGCTGGGTGAGAGGCATGGTGGTAGGGAAAGGGGAAAGCTAAGAGGCCAAACTAGAGTATAGTAGGACCATACTGATCATTACTGGTCATACGCCAAACATACAGTGCATATTACATACACTCCTGCAGTTTTTTATGTAACCAATTGCCGTATACAAAATCCACAAAAGTTGAATTACCAAGATTTGCCAAAAATGTGCATATTAAGTCATTGCTAATCTAAGACAATATTTATCTTCTACAGAGGCGGAGGGCCTGGGAGGGGAGCGGTGGGTGTCCATCTTGTTCCTATGTTTCATGCTGGAGCACCTGTGTCATCGCTGTCTGTCCAAACTGGACCAACAAATTGTAGCGGAGCTCCAGAGCTCCCAGGATACACCTCACCCCCTCCCTATCAGTCAAGTCGTGAAGGCAGTGCTTCTACTGCTCTACCCTGAGAGGGAGGTGTCTGTCCATACAGATGATTGGGGCCAAATTTAGAAGGTGAGAATTTCACTAGGTTTGAATGCAGGCTTGTCTCTATTTGCATAATGGAAGACAATGGCCCTATTCCGAGAGCATACATTTTGCTTAATCGCAGATCACCAACTGAGCAGACTGACTGATTAAAAAAATTATGAGTAGTTCTTTATCATGCAAGTTGATTTTTAGATCAGTCAGTCTACAGTAGCCGACTGCAATGTAGTTGATCTCAAACATGACCAATGTGTTTTTAGTAGGCCTACTTTGTCACGCCCTGGCTCTGGGGACTCTTGTATGTTGAGCCAGGGTGTTAGTTTCTTTGTGTAGTGTCTATGTTTCGTTTTCTATGTTCTGTTCTAGGTTAGGTGTTTCTATGTTGGCCGGGGTGGTTCTCAATCAGAGGCAACGAGAATCAGCTGTTGCTTGTTGTCTCTGATTGGGAACCATACTTAGGCAGCCTGTTGTGCACTTGTGTTTTGTGGGATCTTGTTCCATGTTGTTAACCGAGGACTTCGCGTTTCGTTTGGTTGTTTTGTATTTTGTATCGTGCTGCCAGTACACTATTAAAAAGATGTACGCATATCACGCTGCGCCTTGGTCCGTTGTGTATGACGATCGTGACATACTTGATACATCATGAGGATATGCATCTCTTTTGTCTTTGACATCAGATCGTGAGCACTGACCTGGGCCACAGGCTGGCCAGGTTTGACCCCATAGCCAGGGCAGAGAGAGTGGACAGGGAGCTGGTCCACAGCTGCATAGCAGGTAGGCCTATGGCAATGAACCAACCTCTGACAGACACGCTCCGGGTGAAGTTTCCCGTAGATACAAATCTAGGATCAGCTTCCCCTACCCTGATCCTAAATTTAACCATCACTGGGGGAAATGCGAAACTGACCCCAGATCAACGTCTAAGGGCAACTTCACCAGTTCACCCTACACCTGCAGCCTGGTCTCATAGACTAGACGTAATTTAGTAAATTAAAATCCGGGAAACTCAAATTACTAAGATATGTTACTTTTGGTATGGTTACATAAGACAGAAGGGAGGGTGATTGGACAGGGTTGCGTGTTCACATCTCACCGCGGACAACTTTAGCATTTTAGCTAATTTGCAACTACTTACTACTTTTTAACTACTTTGCAACTACTTAGCATGTTAGCTAACCCTTCCCCTAACCCTAACCTTAACCCTTTAACCTAACTCCTAACCTTAACCCCTAACCCCTAACCTTAACCCCTAACCCCAAGCCTAGCTAATGTTAGTCACCTAGCTAACATTAGCATTAGCCACCTAGCCAACCTAGCTAATGTTAGCCACAACAATTGCAATTCGTAACATATCATATGAATTGTAATACGGAACATATCATATGAATTGTAACATACAATATATCATACAAAATGGATGATGGACAAATTAATACATACTATACCAAACTCAACATATCATACTAATGTGAGTGTCCCAGATTTTGATTGACTATGTTATGTCTACCCCTGAGTCCAGGTTGACACCTGAGTGAGCAGTAACGTAAACAAAACGAGCTTCAGATTTGATCATGAATAAGCAAAATGAAGCCTACAGTTACAGAGTTTAATGGCTGTGATAGGAGAAAACTGAGGATGGATCAACAACATTGTAGTTACTCCACAATACTAACCTAATTGACAGAGGGAAAAGAAGGAAGCCTGTACAGAATAAAATATTCCAAAACATGCATCCTGTTTGCAACAAGGCACTGAAGTAATACTGCAAAAAATGTGGCAAAGCAATTACATTTTTGTCCTGAATACAAAGTGTTATGTTTGGGGCAAATCCAATACAACACATTACTGAGTACCACTGTTCATATTTTCAAGCGTAGTGGTGGCTGCATCATGTTATGGGTATGCTTGTAATCGTTAAGGACTTGGGAGTTTTTCAGGATAAAAAATTAACGTAATGGAGCTACAGTAAGCACAGGCAAAATCCTAGAGGAAAACATGGTTCAGTCTGCTTTCCAACAGACACTGTGATATGAATTCACATTTACATTTTAGTCATTTAGCAGACGCTCTTATCCAGAGCGACTTACAGTTAGTGAGTGCATACATTTTCATACTGGCCCCCTGTGGGAATCGAACCCACAACCCTGGCGTTGCAAACGCCATGCTCTACCAACTGAGCTACAGCAGGACAATAACCTAAAACAAATCTACACGTTGGAGTTGCTTACCAAGAAGATGGTGAATGTTCCTGACTGACCGAGTTACAGTTTTGAATTAAATCTACTTGAAAATCTATGACAAGACCTGAAAATGGTTGTCTAGCGATGATCAACAACCGATTTGACAGAGCTTCAAGAATTCTGAAAAGAAAAATGGGCAAATGTTGCACAATCCAGGTGTGGAAAGCTCTCAGAGACTTAGCCAGAAAGACTCACAGCTGTAATTGCTGCCAAAGGTGCTTCTACACAGTATTGACTAAGGGGTGTGAATACTTATGTAAATTAGATATTTCTGTATTTCATTTTCAATAAATGTGCAACAATTTCTAAAAACATGTTTTCACTTTGTCATTATGGGCTATTGTGTGTAGATGGGTGAATTATTATCATTTTGATCCATTTTTAATTGAGGCTATAACACAACAGAATGTGGAATAAGTCAATGAGTATGAATACTTTCTGAAGGCACTGTAACTACTAATGGCAATAAATAATCAGCAGGTAGCCTAGTGGTTAAGTGTGTTTGGCCAGTAACCGAAAGGTTGCTGGTTTGAATCCCCGAGCCGACTAGGTGTAAAATCTGTTCATTTGCCCTTGAGCAAGGCACTTAACCATAATTGCTCTGGATAAGAGTGTCTGCTAAATTATTAAAATGTACTCAATGGAGAGCAGTTTAATGGTGTAATAAATCTAATCAATGATCATTTTAGCAGCAATGTAGGTTGTGTCTGAGTGGTTAGAGACCTGTGGATGGGCATAGAGTCAGTGTGGATAGTCTGTGGGAGAGGAGCAGTTGTTAGCCATTTAACAGTCTTATGGCCAGGGGATAGAAGCTGTTTAGGAGTCTGTTTGTCTGAGCCTTGATGCACCGGTACCGCCTACCGGACGGGAGCATGGAGAACAGTCCATGTCTCAGGTGGCCTTTCTCAGACACTGCCTGGCATGTATGTCCTGGATGTGTTGGGCCATTCGCACCACCCTCTGTAAGGCCTTACGGTCGCGGGCGGTGCAGTTGCCATACCAGACGGTGATACAACCAGTCAGGATGCTCTCAATGGTGCAGCTGTAAAAGTTCCTGAGGATCTGAGGGGCCATGCCAAATTGTTTCAGCCTCCTGAGGGAGAAGAGGCATTGCCGTGCCTTCTTCACAACTGTTCTGGTGGCACTAAAGAGAGTGACCATGTTAGTAAGGGTAAAAAAGCCTATAGCACTCTGGACACATACTGTACATGTAGATGATCAACTTACTCTCTCTCTCCCTCTTCTTTTCTTTGCTTGAGAAACTTCAGAACTGAGACCTTTGGCAAACGAGCAGCATTGTATTGGCACAGTTACTTTACTACAGTGCCAGTATTTGAACAAGCTCCCTTGTGATGTTCTCCCAATCAAAAGAAAGAGTTTTGATCAGAGGTTATTGCAGATTGCCAATGTTTCATGAAACTTACAATAAAGAAAATATACATACTGTAAGAATGTATGTTTTGACATTGCACTTTGAGAATATTTTGGGACTGAACATTTTGATCATGAGATGCTTGCAATGTTCTGTTTGCTTTGCTGTTATCATTTAATTGATGTGCTTACAACCCCCAGGTTTTATGTGTAGGCGTAATAACCTGGTAACAGGTCCGGCTATAATTAATTAATGAAAAGGTAGATAATTGTAGATATTAATGCACTTCTCTCCAAAGTAATGAGAAATTATTGGCTTTAATCAAGCTACTGTTTTAGAGCCATAGACTGCCTCAAGTCATAAAACCCAATCCCATACGCACAATCTCTCACTCCTCCCCCTTCTGCTTTA